GATTGCCATAATAATACATTCTCCCACCTATATGTGGCCAGGAAGCCACATTTCCTGTGTTCTGTGAAAGCAGAATGAAGTCTTCGCTTTGAACTTGGTTTGGCTGGTGATAGTACCGCTCAAGTAGATTAAAGACAATACTTTGTTTCAGAAGAGTTCATTCTATGAATAAGGCACCCTACATAATCTTGCATTCCCACAAACAGTTGGTTCTTCCTTGCATTCTATTGATTGTTGTTGTTATTGAAAGCCTATTGGGAATTTTGAGAGAAGTCAGACCCATCCCTGATCCAATTTATCAAGTAAATGTTTCAGATAAGAACCTGCCTTGACTTCAGTGGACCTTTCAGCTTTCTTTGGCAGTATGAGCGACAGTGTATCCATGCTTATTGACACCTTGGGAATCAAAGGTTTTGTATAGGTAGACCTTGTGAATTCGTACCATCACTGCCCTGTCTTTGATACAGCCTATGAGAGATAAGCCACAAGACAGAGTTTCTCAGGACAGAGGTATCAATTATGTCAACAACCGACAACTGCTTAGCATCATGACCATGAGGTGCAGGCTAAGATTCCACTGAAATGTGGGAAGGGCACTGGGGGTAAAGAGGGGAATTTCACCCTCACGCTGACAGAAGGCCTTCAGCTGTTCAGTGTTGCTTCATTCTAGTTTGAACTGAAGATTTGTATCTAGCTGCAACAGGTTGCGTTTCAGATGTGTCTGAAATATTTCTGGTGGGGTGGAGAGCTCCAAGCTTTCAAAGGGGCAACAAATTGGACTCAAAACTCAACTCAGCTGACTTGGCAATCCGTTTGGGATGGGGAAAGCACAACAAGGACTTTTTTTTTAATGTGCATATGATGAAGGCCAGATTCTTTACTTTAATCAGCCACTGCTAAATTTTCCCGGGATCCTGAGCTCCAAGGATTTTGTGAGAGCTTGTACAGACTTATATATAAAACCATGTAAGGAACCCTGACAGATAGATACATTTATTATTTTTTAGGTTTGAGCACAGTAGGAGACCTAAGTAGATTATAGAGCTTTTCCAATTAGTGCCAGGCTGGGTGATCCTACCAGTTATACCTCCTGGACATCATTTGCCCCCCACTTCTCCAGTAAATTTTCCAGGTTAACCAGTGCTGAAAAGAGGAGGCTCAGAAAAGAAGCCATGTTTTTGCACTCCTGTTATTCTCAAATGCATGCACGCATAGTCACAAATGCAGTGATGTCAGTCAGTCCGTCATTCAATAGCTTTCTATGATATTCTCTTTCCTCCAACAGTGATAAATGCATGAGCGTTGGGGGCTGCAAATGGAAAAGCAAAGGCCTTATCAATACCCTCCCAGATAACAATGAAGCAGACATGGTTTTGCTTGCTATTAGTGGGCAGTGAAAAAAGGCCTGCGGCATAGACCCCTCCCATCAAAGTTGATGATGATGCTGCCAGCCAGTGCCCAGTGCAAATAACCTGCCTTTAGACTTAAAGTATACTGAATTCAGGAGTTTATTTAGCTACTCAGAACTCAATGAAGCCCTTGCTCGTTCCGGTTTAAGTCTAAACGTCTCTCATTTCAGTGATATATTATGTGTAAAGCAAATAGAAGCCGATTTTGATCTTGTTACTTTTAAAATATTTGCAAGTTAGACATTATAGATAATCTATTGCAGATCATGAAGAGATTTTTAACTAACACTTACAGTATCTTCCTTCTGACAATCTTCTGCCCTATATTTTTACTAAACTCCATATTGGTTCCAGTAGTTTGGAGTGGTTTCAATAGAATTTCCTCTTGTTTATACGGTGAAAAGCAATCAGTCTTTTAGTGACCATTGGTAATGTATTATTATCCTATAATTATTTTTTTTAATAGCAAGTTTCAGCATGTTATTTTCATAGACCAAGTGGCACAGCTTGCAGAAGATTTATGCCACAAATGATGTCTAATACCCATTTCCTTTTTCAAATAAGGGGAGCATTATGTAATCTGTTTGGGCCATTAAATTTCTTCTCCTGACATTTTTATAGCCTCACAAGATGAGTAAGGCCTCTTTGCCCTTTTAGTCTCTTGGAGACAGTTGTGTAAATCCTTAGTATGTTATTTCTAACAGACCAGTGGGATGTGGTGCATGTTACACTGGGTAAGGTTTATTGACTCCTTCATGTCATGATCCCATCTGCAACATTTGGCAGCTGAGGAGTAACTGCTCAAAATATTCAATTTCTGTACTCTGTGAAGAACGTGGTAAGACCAAATCTAGCATAACATAGATACTGAGTGTGTGGAGTGTCTGATTCATAAAATCCTGTTGCTGATAGATCTCTGGTGAACTGAGTAAAGATATCACTCATTTTTTTCCATTACTCAAATCAGTGCCTTCCTCACGATTACTCCAACTGTGTCTGCCCGTTACAACCATGCATATAATTTTTCCATACACTCATTTTGTTACGGCAGGTTCTTGTGATGGAATACGGATGCTCTCCTGAAATAGTCCAAAAGGATGTGAAAAGAAGGATCAGGAAAAGATCAATAAAACATTCTGTGGGGAAGGTTTTAACTGTTTATGAAAGAAAATACTATTAGAAGTTATAGTTTATAGCTGATAGGCAAACCTGGCTGCTTAGAGAATGAAATAACAAAGAATTGTTTATCATAATAACACAAGGCTAAAGTAATGCTAACCAAAGTAAGTTTGTTGGTTCAGGTTGCTGATTAGGAACTTTAATAAAATATCCGACAAATGCACACACTGCCTACACATTCAGAAGAAACAAGAAATTCAAATCACAGGGTGTTTAATCTACTGTGACCGAAGGATCACAGTTTGTTAAAAGCAAGGTTATGCAAAACTCACTTCCCTACAGAGAATTACAGGATACACAGTTATACATCTCTGCCCCTGGTGAATTAAGTGATGCTGTGAATGTCTTATCCTGGTGCCCGGAGGCTATGCGGGTCTGGATGGGGAACAACAGGCTTCAACTGAACCCCGGCAAGATTGAGCAGCTTTGGGTTTTGGAGCCTTCCAGTGCTAGGACTATACCATCTTTGGTGCTGGATGGGATGGCACTGCCCCCGACAGACCCAGTATGCAATCTGGGTGTCTTTGAGTAGGTGGCAGTCATGGCTAGGAGGACCTTTGCACAGCTTTGTGTTGTGCACCAGTTGCACCTTTTCCTGGATCGGGGGGGGGGCTCTGCTCACTGTCACGCATGCCTCCCGGTTGGACTACTATAATGTGCTCTACACGGGGCTGCCTTTGAAGAGTATCCAGAAGCTTCAACTGGTGCAAAATGCAGCAGCATGGGCAGTTATGTGTGCCCCTAGAAGGGTACACATTACACTTTGGCTCTGTGAGCTGCATTGGTTGCCAGTTTGCTTCTGGGTCCAGTTCAAGGTGCTGGTTTTGACCTTTAAAGCCCTTCATGGCATGGGGCCGGGTTATTTGAGGTATCGCCTCTCCCTGATTACATTTGCCCATCCCATCAGGTCTGACAGAGAAGGCATGCTGCGGGTCTCGTCTGTCAGGGAATTTCATTCCCCAGAGGTGGGCCTTCTCTGCCGTGGTGCCTGCCTTGTGGAATCTTCTCCTCCTGGGAGTTAGGTTAGCTCCATCCCTCTTAAGATTATGCAAGTCCCTCAAGACCTGGCTATGTGATCAGGCCTGGGGGTCTCATGGCACCAGGGAGATTTTGTGATGGCTCCTTTACTATGGTTAACATCATCCTCTCCTGTTTTGTGTGTTTTTTATACTTTTCATAGTTTTAATAGTTTTTTTATATGTATTTATTGGGGGTTTTTTAACTGAGTGTTGTACGCCTCCCAGAGTCACTTTTTTGTGAGATGGGCAGCC